TCAGCTCTCGAATGAAAAACAGCAAATGGTTCACATAAAGGGCACCATGGACTTCCTGCTGAACTGCCTCAGAGCAAAAGGAAAATGTATGGGAATATTGTGCCCCGGTTGAGTTCCCAACTTCCAGTTTAATGTCACTATTCATGGCCTGTGACGGAGGCATGAAGTCAAGTGGCTGGGTGTTAAATTGCAGGAAACATACATTAAAGATCACGTGACAAATGCAAACATTTTCTTGTGGAAACAGAAACAGTTTCCCTATAAGGACCAAAAGCCATCTGCATATCGACATAGATGATGTAAGATTAAAGTATATTGAATGTGGCCATGCATACTCAATATGTTATTTTTGAGATGCATTTATAAATAATCAGCCACTGAGGCAAGCCTCTCTTTCCCTCCACATTCACTCACACTATGAATCACTGAAAAGGTTACTGATCGGTAATTCCTCTGTGAATGTCGTTTTTCTTCTCCCCATGCCCAATATCCAGCGCTAACACTAACACCTTTCACCGCTCTTGTAGAGGGACCATTTGTGGACTGTCAGTCAGTTTGATGAGGTGTGGATTAGCTCCCTGTGAGAGACAGCTCAGTCTTGTGAGGCGGTGTGTTGACAGGAAAACACTTGCGTGCTCCTATGACGGTGACAGGATGCAACTGTATGAAGTTGATGTTCAAGGTGTTTTTCTATAAACGCTATCAGATAACTGGAATAGCTCAAGTTGTTATGTTATTTTATGTCGTTGGCCTGTTTAAATAAGCATGATAAATATAAATGAGGTAGACATATGCAAACCCCTGTCTTGTTTACCTTTTCTAAGGGACTTATGAACCCTGGAGGATAAATCCAACTGACGTCTGACGTTTCCTCCAGCACCATGAAGCTTACACTCTTATTTTTAACTGACATGTCTAGCAGTGTGGTTGTAGATTCTTCTTACACTGTATACCGCGCAGTATAGCCGTAAAAGGACATCAATGAGCTGATCAAAGTTTACATCAGGACAGAGGAGGAGATCAGTCTGTTGAGTTTATTGGTTCAGATAAAGCACAGTACTGCGATGATGTGATGATTATAATAAGATGACAATATAAATCCTATTGCAGATAAGATCAAACCCTGAATGTGTGTGTGTGTGTGTGTGTGTGTGTGTGTGTGTGTGTGTGTGTGTGTGTGTGTGTGTGTGTGTGTGTGTGTGTGTGTGTGTGTGTGTGTGTGTGTGTGTGTGTGTGTGTGTGTGTGTACGCCTCACATTAAATAACCTAATATGACTGTTGAAATGATGAAAAGATTAAATGAACATAGTTTGATGTCTGTTACATACCAGGACCGGATGGGAATGTTAATAAAACTGGGGGAACAAATAAAGCATCCCAAGGTAAAGGGCCGAGAGGCAGGCAACAAAAAGGATAGGGACGGACACAGATATTGTTTGGGATTAGAGCCATACTCTACACAAACTTACATTTATGTGTAATATATATGAGACATATTTAACAAAGCTTCATAGTCACTCGTGATGTTATCTCCTTTAACCTCAGGTGTATTAATAATAACAATAAGAATGACCTTATAAAGGACACACAGAGGGAATCCATAGCATACTAAATGTGAAACAAAACACACACAAAACTACAGCCTAGGGCAGAATAATAACATTTATGAAAGCCTGCACATACATCGTAAGATAAGATCTCTTATTATGGCACTACACTTTGTTGAAGTTGAAGTCATCATCGTGATAGGCCACGATAAGTCTCTACATGCTTCTTCTATAATTACACCACAAGTGGGCAGTATATAGTTGGGTACAAAATGCTTTAAATATAAACAAATTGTGAATTTACAAGTGAGCATAATAACTTCTTATATCTTTATCATCTGATAAGTCATTTGACAATCGTTACCCAAGATATGTCTCGTTACATACTTTGAGAGAAATACCAGAAGATAAGAATTCCAGAAATACTATTCTGTCTTTTTTTACTTCCAACAACCACAATATCAATCTTCTTAGCAATGTACGTCATAGGTGTTTTTGATGGATGGAGTTTTTTACAATTTACTAGTAATACATTCTGTCCTGTATTTTAAAGATAGTAGGCTATACATTTTAGTGGGGATTGTTTGCACTTTCAAATCAAAGTCAAATCAAGGTAGACAGACACAATATAACATCAGAGGGAGATGGCTGGCTAGTTGGTTTTGAAACAACTCCTCATACAATTGCTCCAAACCGAGAAAGTGACAATTTGAGCAAGTGTTGCAATAACAAAGTAACTACTCTTTTTGCAACAAGGATTGGTGGCTTAGAAACTCTAGCTTAGTATTACATCAAAACATCTTATTTGCAGTGGCGGAGGGCTCCAACCAAGATAATTGCCTGTCATCTATAATCTGCAAAAGACCTGCAAAGACAAGAAAAATGTCTGTGTCAGCGCTTGTTTCACAAATAAAGACAGAATATAGATTTTTAGAGGTTTTTTTCCTGTTGCTTTGAACTTTTACTCAGCCTATTGACAATTGGCTGTCAAAAAGATTGGTTAATGGTTCACATATAACAAGCACCTGGGATTTGAATTGACATATGAGTCAGGCTCATTGATCCTGGCTCAAAAATATCCCAGATCCCAGCAACCGACAGCGTCACAAGCATGGATTGTTGACTCCAGATATTTCCTCTCGCAACAGGGTGGTTGAACTCAGTGGACCTACACAATTCAGGCATCACTCAACAGTCGGTGTGGTCTAAGATGTAGGTACATCCTGTGTTGTAGACTTATTTATATACTATTTTTGTCAGTGATACATGTCTTACGATCCTGTGGTTAGAAAATATTCAAATCAAAAACTCTCTTAATCTCTGAATCTCTTGGAAACTGTAACTCATAATATACATTTCCTTACTTTGCTCTTTACAACACCACTACATTTCTAACAATGATGCTTTGATCGACTATGTTCTGAGAAAGTGAAAGAAAGTACCTTGTGCCAGTTTAATTATCTTTATTGTATTGCTCTGTACCATTTTGTTAAATTATCATTCTAAATAAGGTATAGTTATTTGACACCTGAACAGAGCCAGTCCGGGTTGGATTGTATTTGTCATCTTGCTATTGTTAGACACTTACAGTACGTACTGTAGCTGCAATTCTCACCCTGTATATATATAGCAGTCATATTGCTATCTCACACCTTTTAATTGTTCTTACTTAGTGGCATCATTCCCACCTGGTTTCTACATCATTTAGCATGCAAAGCACGACTGAAGCGTTTCCCTGTACATGTTACACATCTTATCTGTAGACTTCATGAAAGCAAAAAATTAATCATTATAATTATAATAATTTCAATTTGACATTAAAAGGAGATATTCTTATATACACTTGGATATAAACACTGCTCTCAAATTATTGTTTGATTTGTATCCAATTCAAATACCATGTTGGCAAGACAGTAGCCTATAGACAGGTGAGAATACAAAAAAGAAATTGTATTAAAAAAACTTGCTTTTCTGGAAGCAGAGATACACATGAGGCCACGAAACATCTCAAATCACAGTTTAAAAAGTAGAACATGGGGAGGGACTTGTCTCCTGTGTGGTTGCAGTGCATTCCACATAACCGCGATGTCCGAGGTTCAATTCCAGCCCTTGAAGCTTTGTTAGATGTCACATTCTCACTCCCCCATTCTACACCATCAACTGTCAGAGAAAGGCAACCCCCTGCCACCAAACAATCTTAAACACATTATCGGATAGAGGCATGGATGGCTGTCATGGACATCAACTATGAACATTGACTGAGTATCTTCTGAAGCTTTAAGCAGCTGTAAAAAGGAAAATAAACCCATATGGCTTACTGAATATAACAACCCTTTCCCCTATAGGGTAGAAGGAGATCTTGTGCATAAAGATTAACACAATGTGTGTCAAAGATGTCTTAATTCAGTTTAATGGCATCTTGAGAACATAGACTGAGGTTGAATTGGATTGCATTATATTGGGTATTTCTGTTCATTGCTGTACACTAGAAATACATTACAATATGAGAGCAGACTTTACAACCATTTTACATTTTAAGGTTTGGATGTGAGCCCCTGCCTGCATTCTTTTATCATAACAATTGATAATTTGTCAAAAGAAAATGTATGGAACTAAAGTGTTATGTAACTGCAGATCATAATAGCACTGCAGAATAAGATTTCAAGACAAATGTCACCATCAAGTGGTAAACCTTTGCCATTGCACAACAAACCTTCGCTTCCAACAACCCTCCTTTACTGGTCAACCAACCTTTTACACTCCCAGCCTATTGGTTACTCCTGACCGCGAACTCGTATCTGATTGGTTCCTTCTAACCCCAAACAGCCAGCAAGTTTTTGTCAGTATTCTTTCGTTAGCTTAGCTCTCTGTAGTGTTCTGAGTCCGACAATCAACAGGTTAGTGCTTTAGTTAATAAGCAGTATATACACATATGCTTGCGTAATGCTTAGCTTTGAAACAAATCATGATTATTTTGTATTCGTCTTAACTGTATACTTCTTAGTAACCTAGCTGGTAATACTCACTTCGGTTCTGATGTGTGGAGTTTGCTAATTAGCATTTACTTAGCAGGGTTAAGTTTGTTTCACCTCAGGATAGCATTAGCTAAAGAGTCCTTCACTCTTGCTGGAAGGACAGCACAAGTGTCTTTGAACCAAACCGAGTCTTTGCTTAATAAACTGAAGCTGCAACGACAATCCCAGCTGTTCTCGTCTCTGCTACAAATCCATTTTTAAATGTGGCGGTTTGCATCATTTGTGAAGTGACGACGTGGGAGGCAGCCAACGGAGGTTAGGTTGCTAGGCAACAACTAATCCAGAATATAGCTTTTGACACTGACCAAAACTCAAGCTTTTTTATTTTATATGAGCGTAGTATGTGTTGCAGTGAGTGTTCCGTTACAGCATTTAAAAAAAACAGTAGGTTTATTGAGTTCTTAGCATTAGCAACATAGGATAACCTTTGGTATTTAGCGTTACGTTAGCATACCATTTGCACAGTTACCATAGTAACAAGATACAAGATATATAGAGATGCTATAACCAACGCCGAGTAACGTTTGACAATTTGGACGGGTTCGGTTCTGTGCATCGTAATAGCATTAACATGGCTCTAGTGAAACGTTGATATGCTTTGCTGCTAAATAACGCAGAGGACGTCCTTGTTTCAGGTATGGATAATAAAATGACGGTACGTGTAGTTTACTGTCGTTAGCATGACAGCTGTGTTTTTACTGTCACCTAGAGCTACATTAAGGTAATAAGATACTTAATGTTATGCTTAGTAGCATTAGTTGATTACTTGCACCGCATGTGCACTACAGCTAGGTTGTTTCACTGTATATTTCTGTATGAGGAAGAGTGTTTGTGGGACTTATTTAACGCTATATGTTGAAGAAACACCGCACTATTTTATAGACTTCTAATCCGCTTTGCACGTCTTATTTTTAGGGATGGGACAGCCGCCTGTGGTGATCCTCCGGCGCCTCATGAGTGGCAGGTAACGTTAGTGACGGTGCAAAAGCAATGTTGTGCCGCTGTGCACAATGAAGAAAATATTCAGCTTCACCAAGAAAAAGAAACACCCGTCCGGTACTCCTGACAACGGGAGTGTGCTTTCTGTTGGCTATGACCTGAAAGACAAGGACCTCGGGAAGGTTCACAAGGCTGCATCAGGGGGTGATCTGGCAAAGTTGAGGCAGCTCGCCAAAAAGAATGATATCAATCAACTTGACAAGGAAAACAGGTAAGTGGCTTTGAAGCACTTGTTGTCACATCTTTGAAGTTGTACAGTATGTCTTATTAACCCTAGTAATATAGTCCACATGCATATCTTAATAAATGTTATTTTATTTGTATTAGATATACACTTCTCTACTGTATATCTCTGTTAACACATTATGTTTAACCATCTTTTGTCACTCTTTTTAAAATTGGTATGTATAAGAGTCCACTATTGACCCTTGACCTATTTTAATACTGTATCCCTTTGTTTAACAAATGAGTTGGTTAAAAACAAAAACTGTCCCCCAAAAATGAATGCAGCCTATCAGATGGATCAATTTATTGTGCTCTTGAAATAACAAAGCTCTTTTTAAGAATAGTATTGCAATACTAGAGCCATAGTTTTCATAATGTAGCAGCTTTAGGGTATATTGTTGATACAAGTATTGAAACCTTGTCTTTGTATATTAGAGCTAGGTAAGACATGTTCAGTACTTTTGACTGTAAACAGCAAACTGCCATCTTTTTTAAGCAACAATTAAAATGTACATGACACCCCATTGTTTCTTTTCTACTTATGTTTCAAAGTGGGATCTAGTTACCATTTACAATTGGTGTCTCAAAAGTGAGTTGCTTATGTATGCTACTTAAGGCACGTTACAGTATAGCTTGTGAAATATCATCATTGATATACAGTATGCGCACCTCAATGAGTGCAGCTTTTCATCAAGGTGCTCTAAAGATAAGCTTAAAATTATCCTGGTCAGCTAAGTAGAAGGATTTTTGTAAGAAAAAGATTGCACGCTAATGAGAAACACTTTCATTTACCATTTCAGAACTGCGCTTCATATTGCCTGTGCCAGTGGACATGCTGAAGTGGTGCAGTTTCTCGTTGAGAGCAAAGCCAAGCTTAACCTATGCGACAATCAAAATAGATCCGCCCTAATGAAGGTAATCCTGGATGATGAGAGACTCCACCAGAGAGTGGTTCTTCATTTATGTTGAATATATTGTGATGATCAAAGTTTGCTACTTTCCTCATACACTGTTTAAAGCCTGACCTCTGCAATCATATCAATCTCATCTCTATCAGGCAGTGCAGTGCCAGCATGATTCCTGTGTCAAAATACTGCTGGAGAATCATGCCGAGCCTAACCTGGTCGACATCAATGGCAATACAGCACTACATTTATCAGCAAACATCCCATCCATGTCAACTACTATCGCTCTGCTGGAGCACGAGGCCAACATCAATGCACACAATAAGGTGATTCCGTCTTTCTTTCTACAACAGCTCACAACTTAGTGATGATAGATGCTAGTGGTTGGACAATATTAGGCATACTCCTGTTATCTTGATTGAAGAAAAAATAATTAACAGCCCTTATCATGCCAAACCATTATTAACGTTTTAAGCCACACATATATGAGTTTCCTTCTATTAAAATTCAAAATGTTTGCTGGGAGATAGATGTAATATTTTGATGCATTCAGTGGTATATCTGTAGGCTATAGTAAAATGCTAGAAAATAAAGAAGGATATTAAAACTAAATAAATGTGTCTGTCAGCTATCATATTTGAGTTTCAGTCTATGATGAGTTGTTGCTGTTCTGTTGATACATTCATGAAAAATATATAGTTGTTGACTGTGATCTCATATTTAGGAGGGATTCACACCCTTGATTGTGGCAGTCCGTGAGGACCATATCGAGATGGCTGAGTTTCTCCTCAAAGAGCGGGCTGATATAAATACAATGGACCAAAGCCAAAGGTCAGTACTGAACAATGAGACATTTCTTAAGCATGTCCAATAACCTTAAAGGTGGGGTAGGTAATTCACTTCAGAAACACTTTTTGTTATATTCCATGGAATGCTCTTAACATCCCGAAAAAATGCATCTGTGGAAGCCGTGGCGCTGTAAAAAGCACGACCAATCATCTGAGCCGGCCCGGCTAAAATAACTGGATGGCCTACCTGCCTGTCAGCCTTCCATCTCGTGCACAAACTTATCTCGTGCCCTCATTGGTCATGTGCGCATTCGTGTGTGTTGGAGGAGGGGCTCTGTAAGGAAGTCTGACGGAAGGGGCAGATTTTTTCCGGTTGTGTACTTTCAAATTCTAGCGCACTCGAGCTGGTTTCTCCATTCTTACCGACCCTACCTTTAATGTTGCATAATTCTTTGTTTACAATTTTTCATTTTGCTATCATTTTTTTAACCTGCAGGTCCGCTTTAATGTTAGCTGCAGGCAATGGACAAATCAGTATGTTGCGGCTGCTTCTGAGGTTTGACGCCGATATCACAATAAAGGATACCAAAGGATGGTCAGCCGATGATTACGCTGTGATGAATGGTCATCATCCGTAAGCTCTGATTATTTTCTTTGCACATATTTCCCTAGAGTGGTATTTATTTTGCAGTTCATGGATTTGTGGAGTCTCTATGGAGTGCAAAACTGGAACAAACTACCAAATCTCTCAAATGGATAATTGTGTCTGTTTATTCATTAGGAAACAATTTAGTTTTACAGTTTAAAACTTTTACTTTTTAAGGCTTCTGACATTTTACATCATTGCCTTGACTCTCTTGTAGATGTTCCCTTCTGATCATTGAGCACAGTACCCAGAAGAATGAAGGGCCCTCTATATCAAATCAAGGGCTGAGCAAGAAGAAGAAAAACACCGTGTTGGGTAGTCCTTCCCAAAACGTTGAAGCGGGCTTCTCTTTGGGAGGACCAGCCATTGATAAAGATGGTAGGGAGATGCATTTTTATCACATAATAATCAATAAGAGTGATGTGAGGATATTATGGTTGTTTGTAATTATTATTCACTTTGATTATTTGATTTATTCCTCATGCATTACCTCTTGACTGGATCTAGAGCATCGAGCAAATGAAGCAGGGGGAGGTATAACTTTGCTTAGATGAGCTTTCATAGTTCAACCAGTCAAATGCTGTCAGTCTGGTGACAGTACTGATCAATAAGTCCCTAAAGATGGATGTTTATGCTTCTTAATTTGTAGCGCTTCGTGCACCAAACTGTTTCTGCTTTTAAAGAATGACATGCTCTCCTTGTCTCTATTTCACAGATAATATATTAAAATATGACATGCCTTCCTAAAATGTATCCACCTGATGCTGAACATACTGTAAACTGCTCTGTTTTCTTGCAGATTTTGAAGACAATTCTCAGTCGAAGTCTTTAAGTCGGTAAGCACAGTTCTCTTTTTGTGGATTATAACCTAGAATTACAATCGCCGTCCTGGCTCAAACCATTCTTCTTACCTTTTCAGGGTTTCAAAAAGTGCTGCAGATGAATGGGCTTCATCAGATGATGATGATGAATCAGTTTTAATCGAAAAGGTTGGTTGCTGTTCCTTTTCTTCTTGTAGACTGAGTTTTTCCTGAATTTTGTTCTATCCTTCAATTGTTATGCTGTCTTTCAGCAACCACCGAAGGTAAACCTGAGGAAAATGATTGCATCTAAAAGAGGAAAAGGTAATGCGAATATTTTTACCCTTATCAGAGCTGCTTTCACACCAAGTACTTTGCTGTACTTAGTTCCCAGCACGTAGTTCCCCCATGGAACTAAAGAGCAGATCGCGTTCACACCGGAATAAGTCCCTGAGGGAAGATTACGCAAATGAAGCCGCTGACCTCACTTCTTCTTCTTCTGCTTTGGGTTTACTGGCAGGCCGCAAACAACTTCACGGCGTATACTGCCACCCGGAGTCCCCGGCCGGAAGTCCCCGGAGTTGGGGACTCGCTTCAGTAGAAGCTGCTGGGACTCCCAGCAGCTTCTACTGAAGCCTTCCGAGTAAATCGCCAGAACGCCGACACCTCCTCATCTCCACCGCTCCCATGTTTTTTTTTGTGTTGCCATAAGTTATTCTCTCTCCGTTGGTGCGTGGGGCTAATGCTAATGCTAATAATGCTAATGCCAGCAAATACAATGGCGGCTTCACAAAACCTTTCCGAGTTTTACGGGGCGTGGTTTGCAATTCGCCCAGCCAATCAGAAATTGGAACTTTTTTCTCCCCACGAAAGTACCACCTCTCTAGCAGGGACTGAAAAGGGGGGAAAAGTTCTCATGAACTAAGTTCTCTTTTTGGTGTGAACGCAAAATCCCAGGAACTATCGGAACTAAACGGGAAAAGTACTCAGGTGTGAAAGCGCCTCTTGTCAGTGTTCCTCCATAGTTTGTGTTTTTTTGGTAGTAATCTTTCATCCCTGCCTGCCTGCCTTGTAGCTTCTGCGATACCTGACAAATCCCTGAGCGCTACAGAATCTGAACCAGAGAGTGAGAATAGAGTGCAGAGAATCCCATCCCTCCTTAAGGCGTTACCGTCCAGCAAAGCTCCACAGCGCCCAGTAGATCCTTCTCCCATTTCCTTCCTGTCCAAAGCACCCCAGATGTCTTCTACCCCTCTTCAAAGCTACAAAAAGGTAAAATATTTGGTGTTGAAGCTGTGCTGATTGCATTTTTAAGATCTGTCCTATTTTTTTCCCCCCAAAACACTCATTACAGCAGACGATCAGGAGCAAAGCAAACAATCAGAGCAGCCTTCGACTAGTAACACAAGGTCAGACTCTCAGGAGGAAGAGGAGGAGGAAGAGGAGGAGGAGGAGGAAGAGGAGGAGGAAGAGGAGGAGGAGGAGGAAGAGGAGGAGGAGGAAGATGAAGAAGAGGAGGAGGAGGAGGAAGATGAGGAGGAAGATGAAGAAGATGAAGATGATGATGATGAGGAAAGTGAAGAGGAGGATGAAGAAGATGAGGAGGAAGAGGATGATGGCAAATGTGTGGCTTCTGTTGAGGCCAACAAGACTGAATTTGAAGACAAACCCACTGTTACTGCTGCTCTTAAGATTATTGACGCTGAGAACATACCTGGTGCTGACACCCCGTATAGCAGGGAAACTAGTCCCGGGATTGTAGGAGACTCAGAGAAAGATGCCAATGTCCACCCACCTGGAACAATTAGTTACGCACTGCCAGCAACAGACTGTATCGTGTCGGCCATTAGAGTAGAATCTAAGTTTTCTGATGAAGATGACAGCCTTGGTTCAAAAGGAGGCCCCCTGCCTTCCAGACTTCACACAGAAACTTCACCAGCTGTGTTAAAGGAGGAAGAAGGAGAAATGGAAAAGGATGATAATTCCTGGAGCAATGATAAAGGTGAAAATACACACGGTTCCTCTGATGGTGCATCAAAAAAAGAATTGTTCAAAGAGAGTAAACGCAGATCTTCATGGGGCTCCTCGTTAGACGACAGTGACAATGACCTACCCAAAGAATATGAGGTAAACAATGAGACCCTTGATCAGAAAAGTGATGTTCCAGATGTACAACCAGAAGCAGAAACACTGCCTTCAAAATGCTCATTAGCTCAACCAAATGTAGATCATCCAGATACCTCGTGGGATTCCTCATCATCACGGGTACCAAGTCCAAAACGTGTCTCGCATCAGCCCCTGATAGAGGAACTTGTGTCTGCTTTGGGGTTACGTTCAAAAAGCACCCTTCAGTCCAAAAACAGACTAGCGAAAGCAACAGTTGATGAATCCGAGTGGGATAAAACAAATATTGTATCCGCAAACCAGACTGGTAAGAAGCAGTGTTCTGATGACTTTGCGGAAGAACAAGATAAAGAAAGTGTTGAGAAAGTTTTAAATGACCCTTCTACTGCAGTGCCAGCAGTACCTGAGGATGAAAAGGCAACCACAATCCATAAACTAGATAACGATGAGGTTGAAACATCACAAAAGGAAGACCGATTAAAGTCGGAGAAGGAAGAAGGCGATGATAGTAGTTGGGATGATGATGAGGATGAAAGTAATGAGTCAGAAAAGCAGAAGTCAATGGGGACAAAGGATAATGATGTTGAAGCCTGCGGTAACGTCTTAGAGACAAATCATTCCACCCCAAACAAGTCAAGGCCCACGAGCGCAATAGACAAGAAGTTGGAGGGAGATGAAGACAATGAAAAGGATCAAGAATCTATTATTGATGGAAAGGATCAGACTGTAGAGGATAACGGGCTGGAGGAGGAAGACAAGCTGGTTGATGTCGACAAAGATAATGAGGGAAGTGAGGACTCTGACAGCCAGGACCAGAGGCTGCTGTACGATTTCGCCAGCGCAACGGTCAAAGTGTCTGACGATGAAGACGTGGCTAGATTAACTTCATATGTTCCGCTGGAAAATAGTAGTGCCATTGTTTCCCAGACCAGAGTGTCATCGGACGACCTCAATGAAGAACCGACAAGGACAAATATGTGTTCAAGCCCACCTACTGTCGGTCAACATTGTGTCTCAGACGGGAACGCATCGCCTGACGATGAAGCGTTACCTCAGACGGACATTGATGATGTTGATGTGGTCTCACCGGATGAGGCAGAGAGCTTAGGCATGAACAGTCAAGAAGTCAGAAACATTGACGAGCCGGTCATTCAGGTAAAATAGGAACACTACAGGTAGTTCTTAGTTGTAGCGTAACAGTTTCTGAAGTGTGGCCTCTTAAAACCAGCACTTTACAAGCTATTTTTATATCCTTTTCCCAGTGTTTTTCATACCATTGGAGTTGCCTTGTGAAATATGCAATAGATGAGAGTAACACCTACGTCACTTCCGGGCGAAAATTACGGCCCCGCCCACTTTTGGGGGAAAACAACGCTGTCATTTGAATGGCGGTCAATACAAATTCTGAAGTTTTTGCCAATCCGATCAGAAATGTAAGAAAACCATGGATTTTTGGATCTTCAAAGAGCCCGATTACGATGGCCATTCCGGCAAACAATCACATTAAATCATTTGAAAATTGTAATTTCGCCAGCTGTTACTCTCATGAGCGAGGCGGAAAATAATAGTTTTATCATGCCAAAAAGCTGCTGTGTCGTTTATTGCACCTCAAACATTAAAACAAATCCAGTGTTTCTGGGCTTCCTCTAAGAAAAAAGGACCGTAAAAGAAGAGCTCTGTGCCTTCAGGCTTCATCGCCATTCAAATGACAGCGTTGGTTTCCCCCAAAAGTGGGCGGGGCCGTAAAGTGACGTAGATGTTACTCTCATCTGTGGACATCGATCGCCTACTGCTATATTTAACCATATATCGAGCCCGATCGCCGATTTCAAGTGATTCAATGTAATTATTTGTAATCGGGCTCTTTGAAGATCCAAAAATCCACAGTTTTCTTAAATTTCTGATCGGATTGTCAAAAACTTCATAATTTGTATTGACCGCCATTCAAATGACAGCTTTGTTTTCCCCCAAAAGTGGGCGGAGCCGTCATTTTTGCCCGGAAGTGACGCATGTGTTACTCTCATGCATACTAGAATAAGCTTTTGAAGTTTATGCTTATGTAAAATGTATTTGTAATGTTTTTTCTTTTATTAGAAAGAAGATTCGACTGGGGATGAGGATGATGATGACCAGGATGATGAGGAGGAGGAGGAGGATGAGCAGGAAGAAGAGGAGGAGGGTGAGGAGGAGGAGGAAGAAGATGTCTCAGATGATAATGAACAACTTGAAGCAAGTGCGGAGTCCCTTGAAACCACCTCAGCTGTTCCTGAAACAGAAGTCTCTAAAGATAAGAAAAGGGGTAAGGAGCTATTTATTTATTATCGATGCACTATGTACAATGCACGGCCAACTGTACTTCAACATCTGGTACCTACAGGTAGTCTTTTCCTCAGTAAACAATAACAGCTTTGCACCTTTATATTGTTTGCTTTAATGACAGTCAGATACACTTTTGATTTTCTTCAACTGTAGACATTCTTACTGAATCGAGAAATTATATGAGTTTACCAAATCAACTGTAGTAACTATGTTATTGTAAAAGTGCTTATTCATTAAAAAAAAGTAAGTGCTGCTGCCTTGTGTATTTTCTCTATATCTACCATTACTTTTCAGTTTCAGCATTGTAATAAATCTACACATGTTGAAACAGATTTCCTGTCCGAGCTGGGTCTAGAGCAGGGAGAGGAAGAGCAGGACTCTTGGGACTCTGAGGTACAGTGAAGACACATTATGTAATATCTTTGAGGATCAGATGTTAGCCAATCAAATTCTCACAGTTTGCCTTTTCTCTTTCAGTCCCACTCTGAAAACCCCAAAATTCCACAGCAAGAGAAACAAAGCTCGCTTATCAAAGTTAAAGAAGACACTGTTGAAGAAGAGAGAAAAGAAGGTACGTTTTTATTTGTACTTTTTTGATGCATCTAATCATTCCAGGCGCCATTTCACGCTTCAGAAACAATATGTCCTTTTTATATCATATTTATAAAAAAACTGCTTTAGTGTAGGGCTGCTCAATTAATCATATTTTAATCGCAATTACGATTTTGGCTTGCAACGATTATGAAAATTATTATTATTATTATTATTAGTTTTTTGTTTTTTTTAGTTTAATTTTTTTGTTTTATACTTAAAGGTGGGGTAGGTAAGTTTGAGAAACCGGCTCGAGATACACTTTTTGTTATATTCCATGGAATGCTCTTAACATCCCGATAGCAATGAATATCTTGCTTTGACAAAAAATCCATACAAAAATGTCATCTGTGGAAGCCGTAGTACTGTAAAAAGCACGACCAATCATTTTAGCCGGCCCGTCTAAAATAACTGGATGGCCTACCTGCCTGTCAGCCTTCCATCTGTGCACAAACTTATCTCGTGCCCTCATTGGTCATGTGCACGTTCGTGTGTGTTGGAGGAGGGGCTCTGTAAGGAAGTAGCAGATTTTTTCTGGCTGTGTATTTTCAAATTCTAGCTATCTCGAGCTGGTTTCTCCAAAATGACCTACCCCACCTTTAAAGTTCAGGGTAATCAACTGTTTTTTTTCAATAAATTGATGTTTTCAAAGTAAATGGATAATCGTTTTTAATAATCGTGATATCAATTATTGACCCAAATAATCGAGATTATGATTTTTGCCATAATCAAGCAGCCCTACTTTAGTGTATAAATGTATTGATATGTGTCTGTGATACTTTCTGTGGTCTAAAAAAGCTGTAGAATGTGCAATGCAATATAATTTCCATTAATCAAAACAGCCTTTCCAACAATATGTTACATTTCTTTTGTAGACTTGTTTTATATTCCCTCGTTTTTAAGAGAGGAAGGAGGGAATAGGATCCTAGAGCCTCGGAGGAGTGTAGGCAGGCCGAGAGGCAGCCAGGGAGAGGGTATGAATGCTTTGACTCATAGGTCTGAGGAACAGCATGGTAACCATCACCTCATGATCACCATAAGAGAATGCATGCAGCATACAGTACGCCACTCCACCATGCCTGCTACCCTCGAACCCTATTATCCCACATTTTGATCATATTTATTTTCTTAACTAGCTTTGTTTCAGCAGGTTTTGTCCCAAATTATAGAAATAACAAAGTGCAGAATGCTTGGCAAATGCTGAAATTGTGTCCCAGTGAATACCAGGAATCTAAATGCCCAACCGATGCCTAACCATTGTCTCTTCAAGCTAATTAACCTTGAGCTTGTTTTGCATGGGAATGCGTTTTGATGTTCTGGCAAACTCAGCCAGCTTCACCAGAATGGTTTTTACATAACAAGTGTATTGTTTTTCACACATTTCACACGTCATGTCTCTTTCAGTTGGAAACAACCATACTGGTGATAATAGACAAGGAGATGTTGAGAAAGATGATGGTATACAGAAAGAGGTAGGTCCAGCAACTAAATGTCCTAGAAAATCAAGTAAATTGTGAAAACTGTTGGAATCGTGTTTTCTTTCTTTCTTCCAGACTGAGAAGTCAAAGTGGGAACCTCTTCGTGTTTTGAGCAAACTTGAAGCCGATCACGAACAGCAGAAAGGTGGATAGAATAACCTGAAGCATTGTGGTTCCTTTTGGTCTGTTGTTGTTAACATGGTAGTCTGTTTCTCTTTGACAGACTTAATGGAAGAGCTCGGTCTTGGTGATGTTGATGATCTTGAAGGTAATCAATAATAACGAATTCTCCACCTTTTGTAATATTTTTTAAATATGGTGATCACAAGGCAGTTGATCATCTAATGCCTTTGTCTGCCACTAAACATAATGCACACACATAGTCCTTTTTGCAGAGAAACCCTTTTTAGATAAAGAACAGACCGGGGACCCCCTTATGTACCTCTTTTGGAAGAAATTGACGTAGCCACTTTTTTTAAACTATAGCCTAGTTATGGTTAAGAACAACCTTAAAAATATGTATTAGAAATATAGATGTAAGATTTGCTCCATCTTAACACAGAATACCCATGAATATTTAAATGAATGAATCTGATTTTTTTGCAACAAACCCTTCTTTCAGAATCACTGATTATCAGGTCGTTTGCTGGTAGATTATATATGTCTGAGTAGCACCCGAAAGCGTCACTCTCAAATATTAAAGGTGGGGTAGGTAATTCACTTCAGAAACACTTTTTGTTATATTCCATGGAATGCTCTTAACATCCCGATAGCAATGAATACATTAAATGCTTTGACAATAAATATATACAAAAATGTCATCTGTGGAAGCCGTAGCGCTGTAAAAAGCACGACCAATCATCTGAGCCGGCCCGGCTAAAATAACTGGATGGCCTACCTGCCTGTCAGCCTTCCATCTCGTGCACAAACTTATCTCGTGCCCTCATTGGTCATGTGCGCGTTCGTGTGTGTTGGAGGAGGGGCTCTGTAAGGAAGTCTGAAGGAAGGGGCAGATTTTTTCCGGTTGTGTACTTTCAAATTCTAGCGCACTCGAGCTGGTTTCTCCATTCTTACCTACCCTACCTTTAAGGAGATACATTATTTTTAATCATAAAAAATTGTCTATCTGCATGCAACCCTGGCTTAACCACCCTTTCTATTTTTCTGTCATCATCGCACTTGTTGAAGCTAAAAAAAGAGGTCAGTAAACGTGAACTAGCTTGTAAGAAAGGTGAACTTTTGACCCTGGTAGCTGTAGTTACTCCTTTGAATCCTCAGTCTGATGTGAGTGCAATAGCATCCCAGCCAATCCCAGATGTTTTTCATTGAGTGGTTGAGTGTTGGGTGTTGTTGTTATCCCAGTGTAAACATACCTTCATCAGCATCAATGTCATGTGTTGTTTATTTACCTACAACTTCTTGTGCTTATGACACAGATGCGTCAGACTGGGACTCCGCCAGTACGGCCAGTAAGAGAACCCTGCCCGGCCGCAGAATGCCCTCCCCTGGACTGGAGGAGTCCCCAGAATGCTCTTATCCACCTAAAGAGCAGGAAGAAAACCTTGCTTCAGCTGCACCTCCAACAACTCCAAGAAGCATCAACCCCAACACAACAACACCCAGCACACCCCCTCAACCCGTGCCCCAACCCCAGCCTCGAGCAAGGAAGATGGTGCCTGCAAAACCAGAGAGTGAAGAAGGTAAGGCCTATAAAGCCCTTCTGTGATATCATTTCTAAACACATATAAACCATTGAGACAGAGGATATTATCACAGCATTTTCCTCTCTCTGCTCTAATTCAGAATCAGATTGGGAACAAGACAATGTGGCATCCACTAGCAATACAGCCAAAGTTGACAATCAGCTGCAAAACCTAGCTGAGCTTCAGATAGTGGTTACACCAGGTAAGGCTGTCTGGTTTTCTTTAGATTGACTACAGATATGTGTGTGCTCAGGCCCTGTGTTCGTGATAAAGACTCTCTGTGTCCTTAGGTTCCCCTGAGCTCTCACCGATGGAAAGAGACATCATAACTAACGAAGAGTCTGACCAGGAGCAACAAAAGGTGAGAAACACCCACAAACTACCATTTCTACCAATATGTTGATATCTTATTCCTGACTTTAGTTTGTCCCAGCATCACCATTCAGTTCAAACTATTGTGAAATTGCAGAAGCTCTAGGTTAGGGCTGCTCGATTATGGCAAAAATCATAATCTCGATTATTGGGGTCAATAATTGATATCACGATTATTAAAAACGATTATCCATTTACTTTGAAAACATCCATTTATTGAAAAAAGAAATGTTGAACAGTATGTTTTTAGCAGTTGATTACCCTGAACTTTAAGTATAATTCAACTGAAAAACCATTAAAAAAGAATTTAAAGAAATCGTTTTATTTAGATTGTTTTCATAATCGTTGCAAGCCAAAATCGTAATTGCGATTAAAATACGATTAATTGAGCAGCCCTACTCTAGGCAAGACGTTTTGCTTAGTAAATAACAAAGTTAGTCAATCTCTTTTCCCAAAAATGTGAGAAAAAATTGGTAAAATATTTAAATTCACAGTCGCAATTGTGGGATAAGGCTACAAATACTATTAGCATGTACTGTGCCAGAAATCAAATGTTCTGTTTTAAACAATATGTGCCAAACAAGTAAGAACAAATCACAAATTACCTTATCGTAAATAAAAATGTTGAGCAATTTCTGTATGTTTAAATTCTGCCCATATTTGTTTGAATATTGTGTCTTTTAATTTAAAGTCCAAATGTGGTTTTTGTATGTTTTGTCTTGTCTGTGTTTTGTCTTCCTTGTCCACCCATGCCATCAAAGGAGGTAGATGGTGCAGTAGATATATGCGAGCTAGATCTAAATAACTCGAATCCATCTGGCCATGCGGGCTCTGACGATGGAGAAAAGGATCATATCTTTAAAGATCAACCCAGTTATGAACAAAGAGGTGAAGCTAGTGATGGCGTCCCATGGGAGAATCGCTACGAGAAGCTGTGGGTGGAGGTGGAAAAACGGGAGGTGAAATCCACCTTCAAGAACGTTGCTGGGGAATTAAAAGAGAAGTTTGGAGAACTGCTTCGATCAAGACGGACTGCAGAAGAAGTCGTAGAAGAAGAACAGGCCACGGCGGAATCTACTTCTGCAGACGAAGAGTCGAGCGATGAAGACGAAGATGGGGAAGTGATTGTGCGCCCGACGGCCAGAGCAAGGAGTACCGTCCTTCTCACCATACCCGAGCAGAGGGAGTCTGGACAGGAAGACTCTCTGGCGGATTCAACTGACAACTCGTTATGCGATGACCCGATGCAGGTTTCAGCGCCCCCCCCACGTAGTGAGAGCAACATGTGCCGAGAGTCAGATGTACTCACTGATGAAGTCCTTGAAGAGCGCAGATCTCCGTCACCTCCACTCACCACAGCACAAAGAAACAGCTGCGTAGATCACGTTACCACGGCTCTGAATGATGATCATACCATGCACATGTCAGATGTTGACGGAAGCACATTCTTAAAGGATGAGACCAAACTGAGGCCATCCCACAAACCACATCTGGACCTCATCTGGAAGGACAGCAGTGCTAATTTAGCTGATCAAAACAATGCCAGTTCAGAAGAGGACCCTGAGGAATTCGCCAAGTTTCGTCCCCCCTCAATGAGCAGACGTTCAGCATCACTCCTAGGTGTTTCTGATGAAGAGCTCGAGGAGGACATGGGAAGATTTAAACTTGAGGTAGGGGTGCTGAAGGTTGTCTTCCAGGATTTGGAGAAAGAAAAAGCCCAACTCCAGAAAGAGGTAGAGGATGGCCGCCCCTCCTGTAGTCTTGATCGCCTCTTTCTCTCCATTACATCCATGTTCTTCATTTCATTTCTTTTAGTCAGCGGTTTTAAATGGCCCAAACTAGCCATGCATCCTATTTTCATTTTTCAACTTCTTGATAGCCATTTTCTTTAGGTTTGACTTTAAGTTGAAGTGTCCATCTTGCATGTTTTTCTGTTTATTTATTTTGTGTCTTTTTGTGTCTTTTTAACTCACATGTCAAATTGAATTGCTGTTGGTTGAAAGTCACATGCACTCCAGAAAACACGTTGGTTGTTTGGCATTCTTAATATTTCTGCAACACTAAACAAAGTGTATGGTGCGTTCACACCGGACGCGATGCGAATAATCGCCCGAGTTTCACCGTGGCTGTCAGTTCTATTTCATACTTACTGACCGCCAGAGGCGGTGCTTTAGCACTGGATATCTTCTGTCTCGCGCATGCGTAGGTCGAATATTTATATCAACAAAGTCACGTGTGACCCCGTATGACACCGGAAGGTATAAGTTCCGGTGCTGTCAACGGGCTCAGTCCTTTTTCATCTTCTCGCTGCGTAGGTTACTACTTATGAGTAGAAGCCAAGCTAAGCTTACTGAAAATTGGGATTCTAGCTCATCGCTACCTGTAGCCTTGCGATCGTTTGATCGGAGCTGCGGGCTAGGAAAAACGCTCGCCCTCCAAAGGCTGCGACGAGCTGTCCGTCCTCCCAAGGGAGGGGACCGCGGTGTTCACCGCCCGGACCCCAGGAGCTCCGGACCGGTAAAGAGCGGACGCTCCTGCACACAGCCGGTGAGATCGCTACCAATTATTGCTGATTGTGCTATATCTATATACTCTCAAACTAATGAGATAATTGTGTACAAATTAACCGAGGGCTCTCGCTAATTTGTTACTGTTACCTGTACTATCATCCAGTTAGCTGAGTGCTCCCGCTGAAAGCTAACTTTCTACTGCGCTAGTGAAGAGAGCGTCTCCGCCCTCCTCCTCACTACATACTTTTGGTTCTTTACCTGTACTATCATCCAGTTAGCTGAGTGCTCCCGGTGAAAGCTAACTTTCTACTGTACTAGTGAAGGGAGCGTCTCCGCCCTCCTCCTCACTACATACTTTTGGTTCTTTACCTGTACTATCATCCAGTTAGCTGAGTGCTCCCGGTGAAAGCTAACTTTCTACTGCACTAGTGAAGGGAGCGTCTCCGCCCTCCTCCTCACTACATACTTTTGGTTCTTTACCTATACTATCATCCAGTTAGCTGAGTGCTCCCGCTGAAAGCTAACTTTCTACTGCACTAGTGAAGGGAGCGTCTCCGCCCTCCTCCTCACTACATACTTTTGGTTCTTTACCTGTACTATCATCCAGTTAGCTGAGGGCTCCCGCTGAAAGCTAACTTTCTACTGCACTAGTGAAGGGAGCGTCTCCGCCCCCCCTTTCACTGCATACATTGGTTCCTTGCCTGTTCTATCGTCCAGTTAAGCTGAGTGGTTTCATTCAAGCTAACTGTTACGGTGCTAGTGAAGGGAGCGTCTCCGCCCCCCTCTCACAGCTCACAATTAGTTCCTGTTCTATCCTCCAGTTAGCTGAGTACTCTCGCTCAAAGCTAAATTGCTACAGTGCTAGTGAGGGAGTGTCTTCGCTCCCCTCTCACGGCGCACAATTGGTTATTTTATTTAATCGTTTATTTGACAGGGACAATGCACTGTAATGAACACTTAAAACATTTAAAGGTGTCAAACGTAACAGTGCCAGATTTAGCTTTGAGCTATTTTCCATTCCCTCACATAAAACATTAAGGAAATTACTTTTTACAAACAGGGTAAAAAAAAAAAAAAAAAAAAAAAAATATATATATATATATATATATACATGATATGCAAAGAGTGGCAACGACACAAAGTGTTCCATCCTCCAGTTAACTGAGTGCTCTCGCTCAAAGTTAACTTGCTACAGCGCTAGTGAAGAGTGTCTTCACTCCCCTCTCACAGCTCACAATTAATTCCTGTACTATCCTCTAGTTAGCGGAGTGCTCTCGCTCAAAGCTAACTTGCTACAGAGCTAGTGAAGAGAGTGTCTTCACTCCCCTCTCACAGCTCACAATTAGTTCCTGTTCTATCCTCCAGTTAGCTGAGTGCTCTCGCTCAAAGCTAACTTGCTATAGGGCAAGTGAAGAGAGTGTCTTCGCTCCCCTTTTCACTGCACACAGTTGGTTCCTGTTCCATCCTCCAGTTAACTGAGTGCTCTCGCTCAAAGTTAACTTGCTACAGCGCTAGTGAAGAGAGTGAATCCGCTCCCCTCTCCCTGCACACAGTTGGATGCCCGTTCCAGCCTTCAGTTAGCAGAGTGCTCTCGCTTAGGCTAACTCGCTGCGGCGCTAGTGGAGAGAGTATTCCGCTCTCCTCTCACGGCATAAACCCATTAACTGACTTCATTTTTTCTCACTCCAGTTAGCAGAGTGCTCACGCTCAAGCTAACTACTATTGTGCTCACTCCCCTCCACGGCATATTTGTTTCCTGGCCAGTTATTTACAGGCAGCTGAGTGCTCTAGCTATCGCTAGGTCTAACGGCTCTAACACCTGTATGGTTCCTCTTTAACCAGAGGATGGCCATGACCTTTGCCCCTCTTGTCTTGGCCTCGAGCATCTGAGGGAGGGCCTTTCGGAGGACCCGTGCATGAATTGCACCATCATGCCTCGTGCGGTAAGAGCTGCCGAGGTTGAACTACTGACTGAGGGTGGCCTTCCCCCCGCACAGTCGACTCCAGCCCAACCTACCCATCCTAGGCGTTGGGCCGCAGAGGCTGCGGGTGCACCGCCCAAGAAGAGGACTAAGCCTGATAGGCTGTCCTCCAAGGTGGACCTACTCACTACTGAGCTAGCCCAGATGAGGTCACTCCTCTTGGCTCTCCATTCCCGAAACAGCGCCTGCCAGTGCGTTCTTTAGGCGCACTCCGGCACCCGCCACCCGCACTGTTCCTCCCTCTTGTGAGTATCTGAGGGAGTTGCATGCATGCTGGAGGGACACTAAGGCTCTTTACAGTCTTACGTCCGATGGCCGAGCCTTGGTAGCCATGCAGGATGCGGCAAGAGTTGGCCTTGACCACACGCCGGCTGTTGAGCCTACAATTGCTTCCCTCATAGTTTCCCCTGACGAAGCCCTGAGGTCGGAGGCCAGGTGCCCTCGACTCCAATGTCGGGTCACTGATGACCTGCTCACTAAGGTTTACGATGCAGCGGCGCGCATGGGCCGTGTAGGCACCTCATGCTCGCCCTCTCAGCTTCCCTGCAGCAGGATGCTCTTAGCGCTTCCTTAAATCAAGGGTACAAGCTTCAGTTCCGACGCTGGCCCCAGTCTTCAGCCGGGTCAAAATGACCACCATAAGCGACCCGGCAAAATAAATCGCCCTAAACCAGGAGCTGTCAGTCCTCCTTGCCAAGGGTGCAATCGAGCCTGTGGACCCCATCTCACAGTCCGGGCTTCTACGCGACCTACTTCCTGGTAAGGAAGAAAGGCGGTGGACTTCGCCCAATCCTCGATCTGAGGAGACTCAACAAGTTCCTAAGGATTTTACCTTTCCATGTGCTAAGCACAGCGGACGTTCTTCGTACCGTGGCCAGGGGGGAATGGTTCACGTCCGTCGACTTGAAGGACGCTTATTGTCATGTGCCTATTGTGCCTCATCACAGGCAGTTTCTTCGCTTTGCCTTCAGAGGGTCGTCATTTCCAGTTCAGGGTGCTCCCATTTGGACTCTCCCTCTCTTGGACGACTGGTTAATCTGTGCACCATCCCGGTTACAGACGATCCAGGACACGGCTCTCCTTCTCTCTCATGTCACCCGGCTAGGCCTCAAGGTGAACATGGAGAGGAGTTGTCGGAACCCCTCTCAGAGCCTAACCTTCATTGGGGTGGCTCTGGACACAGTCACTCAACCAGCGAAAACAGTGTTCTCGCCCCCACTCCTGGTAGACGTGATGCTTTATTCTAGCAGCAGCCGACTGGATAAACCGTCCTGCTAAAACTTCTTGTTTTTTCCAGCTAGGTGAAGGCAGTGCTCTCGCTCCCGCTCCCTCTGCTGGTAACATGGGTGTAGTTACATCCCTTTTGTGTTCGGCGAGTAGGAGCGTTGCTCTACTCTTTCCGTTCAGCAGGTAGCTGGTGAAGGCTGTGTTGTCGCACCCCGCTCCCGCCTACGCTGCATCTGGCATTCGTTATTAACTCAACCAGTGAGGGCGGTGTTCTCGCCCCCGCTCCTGATAGACGCGCTGCTTCATTCTAGCAGCAGCTGCCTGGCTAGGCTGTCCTGTTAAACTTCCTTGTTTAACCCAGCTAGGTGCGGACCTGTCCATCTGCTGCACAGACTCTGCTGTGGGACGCCTTGGCGTCTCCCCAACAGGAAGGACCTCTTGTCTCAGTTGGAGGGTCGGATGTGGCACCCCGACCCCTGCCACCTCCAGCTGTGGGTCTGGCCACTGGGCCCGACCCACTGCTGAGCGACTGCATAGAGTCTGTCAGGAAGACTATTCTCAAATGCTAGGGCACAACCTACTCGTAGGCAGTACGAAAACAGGTGGAAACTGTTTTTTGACTGGTGCCAAGGGCGAAATGAGGACCCAGCATATTGCTCGGTACCTACGACCCTTGAGTTCCTTCAGTCCCTCCTGGACGACGGCCGGTGTCCCGCTACCGTCAGGGTGTATGTGGCTGCTATATCAGCTCAACACGCAAGGGCTGACAACAGCACAGTGGGGAGCCATAGGCTGGTATCCCTCTTTTTAAAGGGGAGCTCTGAGGCTTCGCCCCCCGAATATCCCAAGGGCCCCTACATGGGACCTGCCCTTGGTGCTGGATGCCCTATGCTTGCCTCCTGTTGAACCTTTGTTACAGGCAGAACTGAAGTGAGAGATCATCAGGAGAGGGGGAAGAGAGGTCAAGACTCCTATGCCCGGTGCGGGCCCTTAGAGCTTATGTCCAGACTACCGCTGACATGCGTCAGTCTGAGCAGCTCTTTGTGTGTTACGGTGGTCCTAGAAGGGGCTGTGCGCTCTCAAAACAGCGCTTGTCCCACTGGATCGTGGACGTCATTGCCCAGGCATACAAGGCGAATGACCGTCCCTTGCCACCTAGAGTAAAGTGCCACTCTACCAGGAGTGTCTCCACATCATGGGCGACCTGGAGAGGTGTGCCCCTGGAGGACATATGTGCTGCGGCCACATGGGCATCTCCGAGCACATTCGCCAGATATTACAGGGTGAATGTTGCCGCCCCTCACCCGCTGGGTGTGGTCCTCCTGCAGAGTCCGTCTAGGCCATCCTTATAGGTGAGTATTCAGACTTCCTCGTGACTCTGTTGATATAGGTCATCCAGTGCTAAAGCACCGCCTCTGGCGGTCAGTAAGTATGAAATAGAACGATAGTTACGTATGTAACTACGGTTCTATGAATACTGGATGACCGCCAGAGTTCTTGGTCACTCGGAATTTCGTGTTTCTGCGAGAAGATTCCATAGGACTGAGCCCGTTGACAGCACCGGAACTTATACCTTCCGGTGTCATACGGGGTCACACGTGACTTTGTTGATATAAATATTCGACCTACGCATGCGCGAGACAGAAGATATCCAGTGCTAAAGCACCGCCTCTGGCGGTCATCCAGTATTCATAGAACCGTAGTTACATACGTAACTATCGTTGTGTTTACTCCCGTCATTCAAACAAGATGTGCTGTCGAGGAGGCGGGGCTTATCTTACCACGAACAAATCGCATCGCCTCCGGTGTGAACGTACCATTATGTGTTCTTTAGTACTGATTTGTCCTTAGTTCTGCATGAAACTTGCATGTATCTTTAAGTTGACTATGTTTGTTTTAATTAACTAAGTGATGTTGTGTGATGATTGAATGAATAAGTGCTTTCTTGGCAGTTTGCTGGATCTGTTTTTTTTTTTTTTTCGTGATATGCTTAAGTTATACTGATTTCCAGGGAAGGAATATATTTATATTTCAGCCATCCTTTTGTAGAGTGTTTTGATACCTCCATGGAAAAACAGCATAGAAAGAAATACACTTTATTTACAGACAGTTTTTCATTGTAATTATTGGATAGAATATCTGAATAGTGTGTGAGACGGCCGTGTTTAAGAGAAAGTAATAGTGTATTGTTGAGCTCATTTGCAATAAGTAAAGAACCTTTGACTTCAGCTTTTTCTCAGTTTAGGTATGCCAAAGCAAGAATTGCAATGCATGGAAAAATGCATCTCTGTAATTTAACTTAAAATAGCATGTCAAATAGAGTAACCACACCAAGGTGTTAGGTCTCCAATGGGAGGGGTGACACTAAATTATGTATGACAAAGTGTACAAGTCCCTGCTCCAAAATGCATCTTAAAAAGCCTGGCCCCAACCTGTTCCAGTTGGGAATAATCCCTCAAGTCCTGTTATTTAATATCAAACTTTTTATCTTTTCAGGTTGGCAAAGACACCATAACGACTGCAATGGAGGTGCAAAAATCCAGTACCTCTTGGGATTCTGGTGGAACGGCATTGGAAGAAGTGGGCACTGAGAAACCTGAGACCAGCATGTCAATTCCAGCGGGAGCAATTCATCAGGAGAAGCCGTCTGCAGCCATCAAGAGGTATGCATTCATTTCTCTTGTACATTGTTTTCCACTGACATTCATCACAAGCACATGTTAACCCTTACAATTTCAGAGTCACATCCTCCAAAATTGAGTCTGATATTACCTAAAAGCTAGGATGTTACTTGTGTGTGTCTGTGTGTGTAGTTGTCCTGTAAATAATTTCACAAGTCTTATAAGTTTGATAAAATGTTTTTACTGAAACTACATTTATTTTTCAATGAAGCATTGAGCAGAGAGCTGAGCTTTATTTTATTGATTCTATTTCTTCAGCAAAACCTCCACAAGGGCCCTGACGTGGAGAGGTCACAACTTATTTTTTTTGTTTAACAGTTTTTATTGAGATTTCCAAATCAGAGAAAATATACATTCAATAGCATTGCATACTACCCCTCCATCCCACCCAGTCCCATACACCCAACCCTCCCTACCCATCCCCTTGATTCCAGATCTGAGAGGTCACAACTTATTGACTATCAGGTTTATTGCTCTCCATAGCACCAACGGGGCACCTGTGCAATTGCGTCTCCCGCTCCAGCAGACCTACAATAGCAGCAAACAGGAGGGACCAGCTGTAGAGGAGACCCTACAGCTGGAGCTGGTCCGAGGGGCCCCGCGCAGCAGAGCCCCTCAGACCAACGCTCATGTCAACGGAGATCCTCTCTCTGTGTTTGACGATAGCACATTAAGTGAAGTGTCGGACGATGAAGGAAGGTATATATGCAGTATCAATTTCACCTCTCTGTCACTAACTCATAAGGTGTGTTCTGACTGAAGGCAAAGTGAATTATATAGGAAGCATGACTGTGTGGAAAGTCTATGGAAAGAAGTGATCGGATGTGAACAGTTACAGATTTGCACTAGGGAGAGAAAATGAAGGTCTCTAAAGGCCTTTCTGTAACCTGTAGTAGTTAACTTAAAGCAGGGGTCTGCAACCCCTGGCACACGTGCCACCATTGGCACTCTGCACCGTAACCAGTGGCACACTAGGAATAAGTGGAATAAGTGTGCAAAATATTTAAATTGTATTTTCGGATCCTGAACGAGACCGCCGCCAGAGCGCGTCTCCCCGTTACCTGCAGAAGGAAGCCATGCACGCAACGCAGCCCCGCTCTCTTTAACTCCAGTCGACTGCTGCTGCTTTCCTCCGTGGGGAAACGATCAGGGGTGTAGTGCTGCCGGAGCGCGCCCGCACTTCAGAAATTGCAGTAGGCTACCCATAAGGAGCTGTACAAATGCCGCAGTTTTTGCGTGGCTGTGTCTTTAGTTGAAAGCCCAGTGGCGATCTGCTCATCTCTCATCGAAAATAATATGCTACACAGGGGCGGACTGGCCATCTGTGTGTTCTGGAGAATCGTCATTATTATTATGCCCTTTAAACCAATTATTTAAATTTGTTTAAACCGCATCATGTAAGTTGCGCTGACAGGTGAAAGAGGTCCACACACTGCTTCCCCCCGCCCTCCTGTTGACAGTTCACGGGCGCCGAGCTCTTCCCCACCCCCCCCGTTGAAAGTTCACGAGCGTTGCACACCGATCACAATTTTTTTAAATGGCACTTCATATCAAAAAGGATGCCGACCCTTGACTTAAAGGGACAGTTTGACGTTTTAAAAGGGGGTTGTGTATAAGGCACTACCAAAGTCAGTGTATTACCTCCAGTATATTACCTTCAATACCTTCAGTAACAGATCAAACTGAATAGGGAACATTAGAGAAACCACTGGAGTTGTTGGTAAGTTTAGATCATGTTGGTGCATTGGTAGTTTTTAACATTTGCTTTGCATTCAGTCTAAACAAACTTTCACAATATTGGTGGTGGGTGATCAGTAGGAATACATTTTCCTTCCTACAGTACATAGGTGCATGACTAACCAATGATTTCCATAAAAAATAATAGTATACTGCATTATACCATTACACTTTCAACAAGTCTGCAATGCAGCTATCATAGCTTGGGAACGGGCAAATCAGTTTTTCAAATAACCCCTGTTTTAATTCTCTGGGCTCAGGTTTCCAGCAAGTGGACAGCAGAGAAACAAGGTAAAATACACATTTGCTTATTAACTTGTAGCTGGAGGTTTGAGAAAGTGAATCATATTCCCAACCGAGCTGTTTCCATATGCAGAATCCTGAAGAAGTGGAGATGGCAGAAGACTTTGATGAACTCACTCAGTCGTCGGACACAGCCACGGACGACTCTCCCACTTCAGGCTATCGCCACGCATCCCTCCTCATTCAGAAGCTGGACTCAGCCACTTTGGGTACTGATTCAAATGCTAATATACATATAATTAGCTAAATACATGTAGGCAATCCACCTTTGAAAGAGACTTACAATATTATATCCCTAGACTCGAGAAGCATGGTGAAGCTGCAGAACATTTTCCACGAGTATGAGCGCTCTATCCAAAAGGCAAGGAGTCGCCATGGGTACCTGTCAGACAAGGTGAGCCAGCTGGAAATGGAGAGGGCGGAGTTGAACAGCTCTCTGGAGGAAGTTAAAGATGTGAAATCGGCCTTGGAGCGCAACCAGCTGGAGCTGCAGTCTGAAGTCCCAAACCTCAAGTGAGAGCCACTTCCTTTCCTAGAACGACAGCTTCCTGTAGCCGTTTCTTTACATGCTCTTGCTCTCTCTTGTCATATTTGTGTGCAGCATACATCATGTGATGGCCTACTTTATGGATCTTTTTTTAATTTATTTAAAAACTATATTTTGTCTGAAACTTGCTATAGATTTCAGCTGAAACAGGAGCAGGAACATCGCCGCAACGCCACCATGATGTACAACACGACCAGAGACCAGCTTAGAAGGATGGAGGAGCAGCACCAGGTGGAGGTGCAGGACAAGCAGAAGGTGGAGCTCACCCTCAGGAACCTGGAGCTGGAGATGAGAACGCTTGTCAACAGCATGAAGCAGGTACAGCATCTTAAGCTCCAATTGTTTTCTGTCAGTGTGCGATAATCTTTCTTTTTATTGTATTGATGTTGGCTAATGTCATATTAACAATATGACATTATGTTTTTAAATATCTCTAACTAAGCTTTAATGTTTAGATCATTTCACATACAGTTTTTTCTATGATGCTTAATACTCATTATTAGTGATTAGTTAGAACTTATGATGATGTAATGAGATGCTTTTTATCCGCTTTGTTTGGTGTAAAACAGATTGATGCATTAGTTCACATGTGTCAAACTCAAGGCCCGGGGGCCAAATCAGGCCCGTGGTGGATTTAATTTCGGCCCGCTGGATCATTTCTAATAGGGCTGCTCAATTAATCGTATTTTAATCGCAATTACGATTTTGGCTTGCAACTATTATGAAAACAACATAATCGAAATAAAACGATTATTTATTTTATTTATTTTATTTATTATTTTTTTATTTTTTTTTTTTTTTTTTTTTTTTCAAAGTTCAGGGTAATCAACTGTTAAAAACATACTGTTCACATTTTTTTTTTTTTTCAATAAATTGATGTTTTCAAAGTAAATGGAAAATCGTTTTTAATAATCGTGATATCAATTATTGACCCAAATAATCGAGATTATGATTTTTGCCATAATCCAGCAGCCCTACTAATTACTATTAGATCTGGCCCGCCAGTATATTGCACGCACACCTTCAATCCTGAGGATTTCCTCAGCTCAGAGCCTGACTCCAAACATTGATGAACTTGCACCCAAGATGAGATGCCAAGTATCTGGCTTAGTATAGTGTGCATTACACAGCAGCAAACTGAGTTTCAATGGATGTTTCCTTCTGCACTTTGTTTCTTGCGACAACAGGGCATGTTTGTTTTTTCTTTGAGGGACATTTTTTTTTGAAGCTGTTGTTGGCGTGTGGAAAAATGTTATCATAAGAAATGACTCCGGAAAAGCTGCAGATAGAGCCATAAGAAATGAATGCAACTGATTATTTAATGTTTAATGTTAAATAATCATTAAACGCAACATGTTTTATTATTATAGGCAATCATTTAAGCTTTGTTAGTCCCAGGTTTAATATGTGCAATAAGTTCATTTCAATAAGTTTTGCAATAAACATTGAACCAGTCCGGCCCTCGACTAGTACCCATTTTTACATTTTGGCCCACTGTGTATTTGAGTTTGACACCCCTAGTTGATTATATGTTATTTACTCCCAGCTTGAAGAGGACCACAGTGAGACCCAGAGACTGCTCGCTCAGGAGCGCAGCGCTCGGACTCTGCAGGAGAATCTGCTCAACAGCCATCTCCGTAAACAGCAAGAGATAGAGCACGAGAACAAAAGAAACATCAGCAAAAGCAATGAGGTAATCGTCACACAGTGATATCCATCTTTTTAGTTTGTTTATATGGTTTAGAATAGATGGTATTTTAACATTTATACCCCAGGGATGTTGTGTTTCTTTATATGTAGCTGGAAAGGAATATAAAAAAGGTTTTGAGGCAGACTCACAATCCTAACGCAACATGTGAAATTATTAGACTTTCAAATTCAAATATTTTCCGATAAATTAGTCTTTTTTTTTTTCCACGTATGTTTCTGAGTTTATTTTCTCATACATTTTTCAATATTTTATTTTGAATTTTTATCGTAATTTGGGAATTTAATGGTAAAGTTTACCGTTTTTTTCCTTTGTGACTTTATTTTATTATTTTTTATTGTATTTCAAGTTGTTATTTTTCTATAGATGTGAATACTTTTCTCATACATTTTCTATCTTAAATGTTATTTATTTTTTGGGGGAAATGTTAGTTATTTTCGTGCGTGCGTGCGTGCCTTAACGCGCGTGCCTTAACGCAACATGTTTTCTTCCTGTCTGTAGGCTTTGTCTCAGCTCACTGAGGCCAGTGACAGGGAGAGGGAGCTGCTCCAGCAAACTGCCACCTTCCAGGAGCAGCTGAGCATCCTCAGAGCAGACGTGGAGCGTTCACAGGCCAACAGCAGTCTCAAAGAGAGCCACCTTTTGGAGGAGAATGAACACCTCAAAGAGCAGCTGGAAGATGCTCGTCGAGATCTTAAACTCAACAGTGAAGCCCTGACCCAAACTGTGTTCAACTGCAATAACCAGCTGACCGCCTTGAAGTCTGAGTTTGCTATGACATCAAACCGTCTGGAAAACGAGCGACAGACTCGCGAAACGCTGGACGCAGAAGTCGATTCCACTCGTGTCCGCCTGGCTGGAGCCGTAAAGGAGGCGGAGCTTTGCCTGTCAGCTCACACAGAGACGGAGAGAGCTCTGCTCCGGGAGAGAGAGGAACACCAGCGTCTTAAGGACAGACTCACAGGTTGGTAGAGGTAGAAATTGATGGACAGCTCCAAGACAAGTTGGGCTTTATTTTAGACTAATTTCATGCTTGGAGACATGACATTTATTTATCAAACAGGAACTGCAGCTTGAAAAAGCAGTTGGTAATCTAAACAGCTCCTTATTTTTAATACACATGCTTATTTCCTTTATCTACATTTGTTTTTACAACTTTAGGAGTTGCCCAATCACCACTGACTGCATACAAAACTCAAATCATTATCAAACATATAATCATTGTCAACCATTTTAGTGGATCTGGTTGCCTCTGTTGGCTGAATATGTCCTGTGTTTATAAAAAGCAGAATGTGTAGTGTCACTACAGACGAACAGTATCACTCTTAATGGGTAGATGTTGGACGAGTTGCTCAGTCTGGGCCCGAACTGATATTTGCTGTGTTTTTTATTGTGTAGGACTTTTGTTATGTGCATTTTTTTTGTCCTGCTATCCTTTGACTTAAATGGGAGATGTTCTTTTAACTAACTAGCCTTTCACATCAACAGGTGAAGTAGCCAATCAACGTGAGTCAGTCAGCAGCCTTTCCCAGAAGCTGTCCAAGGCAGAGACTCGCGCGAACAGCCTGGAGAATGAAGTACACCGAGCCACACTGCAGCTGACGGAGAAAAGCCTCCTGCTGGACGTCCTGCAGCGGGAGAAGGACCAGGAGGCTGCCCGGGTGAAGGATCTAGAAGCGGCCCTGCAGGTGAAGGAGGAGCAGGTGAACCGCGCCGGAGCACGGCAAGAGGCCGCACAGGAGCGGCTAGCCCAAACCCAGAGTGAGAGCATGTTACTACGGCAGCAGCTAGAGGAGTCCCAAAACAAAGGCGTTGCAAAGGAGCGTGCGGTGACAGACGCCCACGATCGCTTCAGTGACCTCCTGTCCCAGCTGCGCTCCGACAGCGAGGAGAGGGTACAACTAGTGGAGGAGAGAAGCAAGGAGCTCGCCAGTAAGGCTGCTGAATTCCGAGAACAGCTCTACAAGAATGAGGAACAGAGGAGCGAAAGAGAGGTAAGATCAGGACATTCACCTCTTCCACCAGATTCATAGTAAGCCTTTTTCCCGAATGCCGGCCTTTATCTCTAATCCAGGGTGTCCGCGGGTTCTTAAAAAGTATTAAAAGTTGATCAATCAATTTAGCGAAAATGAAGGCTATTAAAAAGTTTTAAATGGCATTTTCCAAGGTATTACATTTTGTAGCTTGTTTCCAATAAGTATATAAATTGTCCAAAGAGGTTGTATTCTACAGTTTGCCTGAATGTAATCATTGCGTAGGTGTGTAGTGTGATTCTGTGTAGTTTATTTATGGCATCCCGTTGGATTTGACGTCATCTGAACAGGACATCGCACGCTCACTGCTTGATAGCGCGCGAAGGTCCGTTTACGCCGGTTGTTAAACATCGTTATGGGGAAATGCAAGTTTGCGTCCAAATGGTTGGAAGATAAGGAGGAAGGACAATCAATACTGTATATAGTCAATGTGAGGTAAAGTGTGTCGCCAATGTAACCGGTTAAAACTCAAAGTGGCGACGAGGTCTTAAAATGTATGGAAAGGGTCTTAAAAAAGGTCTTAAAAGGTCTTACATTTGACTTCAGGATTCCTGCATATACCCTGATACTCTGCTTTCTTTGGATTCTGTCTGAGTGCAGACTACCTTAAGGCATCTGCAGCAGGAGCTGGCTGACTCACTCAAGAAGCTGTCAATGAGTGAGGCTACTCTGGAGGTCAACACACGCTATCGCAATGACCTGGAGGAGGAGAAGGCTCGACTCTTTAAAGACTTGGACAGGCTCAAAGGAAAGGTAACAGCGAGGAACAGTGCCACCTTGTGGTGTCATATCATCACCATGTCTCTGATGTCAAGTGTGTTCATGATTATGAAGCTGATTAGATGGCTCACTGTCACAATTTGAGGTAAACTGACAGTTAGGTCCACTGTTAACATTTCTGACGATACGGATCGGATGCTTTGTCTCTGTCTTGTAGCTGGAGGAAAGCGAAGACCAGTATGTTCAGGCTGAGAGACGCATTAACAGTCTGAAGAGCAGTCTGGATGAGAGGGAAAAGGAGCTCTCCACCGCTGTTCAGAAACACCAGGAGGCGCTGTTAGCCTCGGCAGCTTCGGATACCACCATCAAACAGCTGGAGGAAGCTATGCAAAGGTATGTACTACACACACACACACACACACACACACACACACACACTCAGGAGTGAAAGATAATGAGTTAATTTTAAAACAACTCAGAAATACTTATATATATTCTATAACTGTGTTAAAAAACAGTGTCAGCCTGGAGTCGGGAAATGTTTCGGTATGCAGTATATGAATATATGTGATGCAGAGTGTCAATGTTTTCACACCTTCCTCACCTCCCTCACCTCCCTCACCTTCCTCACCTTCCTCACCTCCCTCACCTTCCTCACCTATATTCTATAACTTGTGTTAAAAAGCATTGTCAGCCGGGAGTCAGGAAATGTTTCGGTACACAGTATATGAATGTATGTGATGCAGAGTGTCAATGTTACGTCTCATTAGGTTGGAGATAGAGAACGCCCGGCTGGAAGCTGCTGCAAAGCAACAGGCCAACAGAATTGAAGCTCTTCAGAAAGGGGCTCAGGAGTCTGCCATGGTGAGTTGCTTTCACACACACATTTTATACAGGATCTCACTGACGCCTTATATCCTTTTTGTGTGACTTAAATAGCGAAACTCAACATCTCAGTATGGTGATTCTTAGAGAAATCTCTCTGACATCAAAAAGCTGGCGTTACATTATGAAGTCATTAAGGTATCACATTTTCTTCCAGCAATCTGACTGCTCGCCTGGAGAAGGGGTTGGTATTGTGGATTTAGGCTTAGTCCTGCTGTGTTGGTTTACCTCTGTCATTTCTTTTTATTACTATACTTAACAACGTCAATCATATTTGATCTATTTACAAAGTGACATTCACTTGGGCTTCGTGGGCGTTTTGCTAGACCCGAAATCCTAACTTTTGTGTCGGTTTTTCTTGGTGAACTAAAATGATGGTTTCTCCCTTAAAGCCTGATTTTGGTATGTGGGTTCTGTCACTTCTTTAGATACCACTTTACAATAAGACTACCCTTATAAAGGGTTTACCAATAGTTTGTCATTAATTTATTAATTTTAGGTTGTGAACACTTTATACATCATTAATAAGCTTTTATAAGACATGAGATAAACAGGGCGACTGTGACCGGTTGCTTGCCAAATAGAGAGCCCACATTTATCTGTACTGCTGAGCCTTATTAGAAATGGTGGTAACTCATTAATAAATGGTGATTTGTTTCACACTTTACAATAAGTGTGAAACAAGTTCTCACCTCCCTCACCTTCCTCACCCTCCTCACCCTCCTCACCTCCCTCACCTCCCTCACCCTCCTCACCCTCCCTCACCCTCCTCACCTCCCTCACCTCCCTCACCCTCCTCACCCTCCTCACCCTCCTCACCCTCCTCACCCTCCCTCACCCTCCCTCACCCTCCTCACCCTCCTCACCTTCCTCACCCTCCTCACCTCCCTCACCCTCCTCACCCTCCTCACCCTCCTCACCTCCCTCCCCTCCTCACCCTCCCTCACCCTCCTCACCTCCCTCACCTCCTCAACCCTCCTCACCCTCCTCACCTCCCTCACCTCCCTCACCCTCCTCACCCTCCTCACCTCCCTCCCCCCTCCTCACCCTCCTCACCCTCCCTCACCCTCCTCACCTCCCTCACCTCCCTCACCCTCCTCACCTCCCTCACCCTCCTCACCTTCCCTCACCCTCCTTCCCCTCCTCACCTCCTCACCCTCCTCACCTCCCTCACCTCCTCACCCTCCTCACCCTCCTCACCTCCCTCACCCTCCTCACCCTCCTCACCTCCCTCACCTTCCTCACCCTCCTCACCTTCCTCACCTCCCTCACCTTCCTCACCTTCCTCACCCTCCTCACCTCCCTCACCTCCTCACCTCCTCACCCTCCTCACCTTCCTCACCCTCCCTCACCTCCCTCACCCTCCTCACCCTCCTCACCTCCTCACCCTCCTCACCCTCCTCACCTCCCTCACCCTCCTCACCCTCCTCACCTCCCTCACCCTCCTCACCTCCCTCACCCTCCTCACCTCCCTCACCCTCCTCACCTCCCTCACCCTCCTCACCTTCCTCACCCTCCTCACCTCCCTCACCCTCCTCACCCTCCTCACCTCCCTCACCCTCCTCACCTCCCTCACCCTCCTCACCCTCCTCACCTCCCTCACCCTCCTCACCCCTCCTCACCTCCCTCACCCTCCTCACCTTCCTCACCCTCCTCACCTTCCTCACCACCCTCCTCACCTCCCTCACCCTCCTCACCTTCCTCACCCTCCTCACCTTCCTCACCTCCCTCACCTTCCACTTTACAATAAGGCTCCCTTTTGGCAGCTATAAATGTTAGTAACTCGTAAATAAATGATCATAAGAGATGCCAAGAAACATTAATATGGATGGGGGGGGGGGGGGAATCAACTCTCTGAACAACAGATACTAAGGATGCTGGCTGATGAAGAAGACGAAGTAGTAGCCAATATAAGGCTTAGTCATCTTGCCAAATAGTGAGCCTGTGTTGATGTATGAAAACTATGTTAACCTAATTATAAACCCTTTATGAATCCTTTATAAGGGTGGTCTTATTGTAAAGTGGTACCCTTCTTTATGTCTCACTCTGCCTGATGCATGCTACTACATTTTTATCAAACTATCCTCTCACTTTTCCTAAATGATAAACAGACAACAGGAACACACACACATATTTTTACAATGCTTTTCATATTTGTGTAGGTGAGAGGTCATTTGGAGGAGTTGGTAACAAACCTCCAAAGCAGTAAGATGACTTTGGAAGACCAACTCAATCGAGAGGTTGGTGGCATATTTCTTTCCTTACTCGAACAAAGAATCTGCTAGGTTCCATTACATACTTTCATCTTATTTCTTTTTTTCCCTCTGGTTTTTATCTATGTAAAGAACAACCAGAATGAGCAGGGAGTTCTTACATTTTTGAGGAGACAGCCAAAGGGAAAGAATCAAACATTTCTAAAGAATCTTTTTTTTTTTTTTTAACCAAACGGGAAACAGCACTATTTAAAAAAAAAAAAGGCATACTAGGAAAACTGTTTTCATTGTGAACTTTTCTTGAAAGCGTACAGTGTGAAACTATTGAAGCAAATCATTTCGCTAAGTTAAATAAATAAGAACAAGGTGCAGGTTTTTATTTTGTAGACTTTCTCCTACTGATACATTCAAATTAAACAGATTGTTACAGGTGAGAAGAACAATAGGCTGTAACAAGCTGATTGGAACTTCTTTGTATCATGTTTATATACAGTACATTGTATATATAATAATTAGATTTCTTGGCTTTATGTTTCTCTCTCGTAGGTCCAGAAGCAGAGCATGCTGTCCCACACGGCGCACGACTCTCAGGCCCTGTGGGAGGAGGAGCTGAAGAGCCGCTCTAAGCTGGGACTGCGCCTGGCAGAGCTGGAGAAGGAAAAGGGAGACCTGAGCACCCAGGTGATCATAGTCATGCATTCATACGGGCCCTAAAGTTGTAGCAATCACTCCTGGTAATGTACCATCGTCTGAGTCTCACAGCTACGGGCCTGCTTCCTGCGTTCCAGATGGAGATAGAGAAGAAGAAAGCCAAGAAGATCTCGGAGCAGAAGAAGGCTGTAGACGGCCGGCTGGATCAAGAGATGCAGAGAAACACAGAGCTCCAAAAAGAAATGTACAGGTGACTCCTAGCCTCCGCCTCGCACCCTCCTCACCTTCCTCACCTCCCTCACCTTCCTCACCCTCCTCACCTTCCTCACCCTCCTCACCCATGGCAGTACATCTTCCTCATAATTAGACACAACCAGGATCCAGTAGAGCGCAGCTTTTCCTGGCTTATGTGGCTGTTATGTGTACAGTATATCTGGTGTAAGATTTTCAGTGTTTTATTTTAGATGAACCCTTATTGATGTCCACAACCTATATAATAGGTTCCTGCAGTGGTTTTCTTTTTGTGTATTACATGGTCATGACCTTCATTGTTGGAGTTTGCTTTTATTGAAAGGTGTTTTTTTGTTGTTGCGATTTGGTTTTCATCTGAGCTTGTCACTTTAAGTATGAATGAGTTACATGCAGTCAAAGCTGATCACTTTGCATAGTGTACGAGTAATAACAGTGTTTAGGGAATAATGGATTAACTTTGCATATCAGTCAAGCAGTGGCGAGCCGTCAGGGCCCTCTAGGCCCTCTCTGAGGGCCTAAGATATACAAAATAATATTTAAAAACATTTAAAATATATATTTAAAAAAAGAAATTATATATTTTTTTTAATATTTTGCATTAGTTTGACCAAAATGACTTGATTTAATTGTATTTAAAATAACATTTCCAAATAAATAAATCCTTCGAATATGCCTATTCAGTTTCTGTTTGAATGTGAAGGGTTAAATGAAAGAAACTCGTCTCTGCGAGTTACTGTGAAGACAGGAGCTGATTGGTGGTCCTGCTATGAATTCACAGAGGGCCAGCTATAGTAACTGAACCAGAGAGTAATGTCAAATGTACAATTGACCTCTAAATGGGTGGGTTTTATTATCGCGGACTTTATGACGCTGTGAAGCTTTTCTTGTTTCCATAGCAACAACAACTTCCTGTCAACAGCGTAAATTCGCCTTCAAAATAAAAGCATGCCAAATTACACTTAAGACATACAACTGCAACGAAAGTAACAAACACAATGCAATATCCTTTTCAATTTCAATGAACACAAATTGGGTTATTTACAGGTGCTGTCATTGATGCGTTTTGCACCCCGGGCCGTTGTTTGGATATTCCGCTGAAGTATACGCTGTGACGTAATAACTCTTTTTTTTCTTTTCTTTTTTCGAGGGAAGGGGTGGGGGTCAGAGAGGGCCTAGGTATAAAACTCACGGCTCGCCACTGCAGTCAAGCTAATGGTCTTCGAGTATACCACTTGTATTAGTTTGCTACTTCATTTCAAGTTGTTTGCTGGTCCTCAGAAGAAAGGTTTGTATTAGATATTCTCTTTTTTATTTCTATTAATGTTTACTTATATTATTTGTGCATATGTGTTTAAGGTTGCGTACTTTAGTGAAGACTGCCAAGAAGAAACTGCGGGATCAGGACACAGGTGGAGCGGAGTTTGCCTCTCCTCTGGGCAGCCTGCGGGTGGAGCAGGGCAGACACAGCCAGGCCGAGGGGGCGATTGGCCGGATGAAAGAAAGGGTTTGTCTGTCAGCACTCTAATAGTAAAGTTTGAGTCCCTTAGACGTAGTGTTATTCCTCAGACCTCGGCCTCTGTCTTTTCTAACCAGGTGGACGATCTGCAGGTACAGCTTGAGAAGGAAGCGTCCCGCCGCAGTCAGCTGGAGAAGGTGAACGACGACCTGAAGGATCAGCTGTCCTCCCTGAAGAGCTCGAGCCGCGGCAACGAGCAGCTGGAGAGGAGTAAGAGGCAGCTGGAGGAGGAGGTGCTGGACCTGAGACGGCGAATGGAGGCCGTTCAGATGGAGCAGAGCCAGGTGGAGCAGTACCGCCGTGATGCCGAGGAGAGGGCCCGTCAGGAGATCCAACAGAAACTGGAGCAGGTCAACGTCTTCCTGCAGGTAAAGGCCAATATCAATTGGTTATTATGATCAATGGCCTTCTACTTCTTAAAGGTCCCCTATTATACTGTTTCTCATCAATATATTATAGTTCTCAGATTTATACAAAACATGTCTCTGAAGTGTTTGGCTCCAAACACCAAACAGATCATTGCAGCATCCCATAATCCCCTCTGTTTCAGCCCTGTTTCAAAAGTGCTGATTCTCTGTCTGTTACTTTAGATCAGGGCTCTCCAACACGTCGATCGCGAGCTACCGGTAGCTCGCGGGCAGCTTTTCAGTAGCTCGCCGCTCGATTATCGATTATAGCGTAGTAAGGTTGCTTATTGATTTTTCGGCCGCGGCTGGACAATAACGTTTTTTTATTTTAGATTTTTTTCTGTCACACGAATATCAAATGGTCGGTGACGCAGAGACCAAGGAACAGACGTGACAGCAGCACAGCGACAACACACACGGAGCAGTCTGCTTTCTCCACCAGCACGAGTCCAGAACTAACAGCAGAATGACCCGCTCTGAATCAGGCCCTGTCGCTGCGCCTCAGAGACACACAGGGAGGGATTTGTGTTTTTTGAAAAACACTCGTTATCGTCATGTCAGGTTTTTGGTGGATTTAATCAAGTCTTGGATTGCAGAGTATGAATGTCCTCTTGCTATTTTCAGTTGATAAATACTTGTGTAAAGTTTGTGAAGGCAGGAGGAAAGCTTCCGCGATCACCGTCTCCTCTCCGTTCCTCCAAACCCCGCCCCCTCCCTGAAAATAATGAGTGACAGGCTGATAGTGACCCGATAGAAACTTTATTATTCACTTAATCACTGATTGAGATATGATGAAGCTAACTTAATCTCATACATTCATGGGATTTATGTAACAGTAAGACAGAGAATGTAAGTGTGCACCCACATGCACTATTTTTGTTTTTATAATGCTATTGTAAATACTCCTGCTGTTTTCAGACTCAAGTCATGTGTGTCTTTTTTTTAACAGAAGACCGTAGCTAGAAGCTGCAGCTAGACTGCAGAAGTATTAGTTTTTTGTTTTTGAGGATGGAACCATTTTCACACACAGATATAGGGAGGCTAGACCTATACAATTGATTTATTATGGTTTATAATTTAATGTCAAGACGAAGAAGAAGAAGAAAAAGATGGCTGAACAACTGTTCAGTGTCAATCCTGTGGAGATCTCCAAAATAATGTTCAGCTTAAGTCTCAGCAAAACTCACAACATTTCTGGAGCCTTGTAGACCCAGAAAACTATAAGAACATTCACCAAGCAGCACTGAAAATGTCTGCTTTATTTGGTTCTGTTCTACATACCTTTGTGAAGCAGCTTTTTCTGACATGAATGAAATCTAAATACAGAACAAGACCGACTGATGAACATTTAAATGACTCTATTAAGTGAACCTAAGTGGGTCCAGCATACACCTCTATGGTGGACTGTATGCAGTGCCATTAATCTCACTAACAAAAGAGTGAAATGCTTGTAAGGTGGTGATTAAGGACACTTATGTGAATGTTCAGTGATGTACTTATTATGTGGGCCATAATAATATGTGAGAAATCTTCGTTTTCTTGGACCTTATTTTTGATAAGCTTTAGGTATTGCAATTTCACACGTGTACAAAAGTATAGCTTAATTCAACTGATGAGGGCTATGTGAATAAATGTAAGCGATGTGATGCAAGTAGCTCTTGGCCACTTTCATTTTTTGAAAGTAGCTCTCAGATGAAGAAAGGTTGGAGACCCCTGCTTTAGATGAAAATAAGGAGCCACTCCCAACGCCCCTCTGAGAGATATTTGGTTAGAAAGAACACAATGGTGCTCTAGGAGGAGATTCAGGTGATAAGGAGGGGGGTGTTACCTTGGTTGGTGATTGGCTAATGGTTACACAAGCCAAAAAAACATTATGACATCACAAAGTGGCCAAAATTTGATCAGCTCATTTTCAGACAGGTTTTTATATAAATGGATCAGGACAAAAAGAGAGAGAATCTTTTTTGCTGAAACTTTCAGAATGTCTTTACACAGAGGGGACACATGTTTTATGTATAAAAGACACAAAAAAGTGGATTTTGCATAATAGGTGACCTTTAAAAGCTGATAATGAACATATTGTCTTTCGATAAAGAAATGTACAGTGTCTAAGCCTGATGTAATATGTATCTGTTTATTCCTCAGTCCCAGGCAGCATCCCAGGAAGCGTTGGATCAGATCAAAGCGGCCAATGAGACTAACCTGCGCTCCCAGCTGGAGCAGAAGATCCGGGAGTTGGAGGGGGAATTGAACCGGGCCCGCACCACCCATCATGACAGCCTCAACCAGAGAGACTCCACCCGCACGGAGCTGGAGCGATACCGCCAACTCTACGCCGAGGAGCTGCGGGTCCGCAAGTCCCTCGCTGCCAGACTTGAGAGGTGAGACCAGCTTGCTCTGTGGTTTTGTTGGGGGTCAGTCTTTAAAACCTAATTAGATAGATGGATAGATGGATAGATGGATGGATAGATGGATGGATAGATAGATAGATGGATAGATAGATAGATGGATAGATAGAGAGGTGAATAGATGGATAGATAGATAGATAGATAGATAGAGAGGTGGATAGATAGATAGATGGATAGATAGATAGATAGATAGATAGATAGATAGATAGATAGATAGAGAGGTGGATAGATAGATAGGTACTTTATTGTCCCAATTTGGGAAATGTTTGCGTTGCAGCAGCATAAAAAACACAAGGCAATGTACATAAGAGAAACTAAGACACAGAAATAAACAGTCCAATACATTTCAGAAATAGAAATAGAAATAAAATAGCATTAAAAAGTTAAAAGATACAAAATATATATACATGTGGAAAATACAAATGTCCAGTAACAAATATAATGCAGGATATTATTGTGCAAGAATGGATTATTCAATATTAAATAGAATATGAAACGTAAATAGTGCCAACAGTAGCAAACGTGTATTTCATCAATGACTTTTCCCCCACAGGGCCAACAGTCGACTCTCGGAAGCCAATTCCAAGCTGCTGAACGAGCGCAGCCGCTCTCTGATCACCAGCAGCATCGCTAACGGAAGCCTTGGGGGGCCCACGCTGGACGTGAGCTCTCTGGGTTCACCATTACACTACGGGGCCACACTGGGACCCCTGAACAGGAGTCTTGGCCTCGGACTCTCACTCCTTAACCCTGTAACGGACGGGCACAACAGCAGAGTCGAGGACTACCTAGCAAAGGTCTGTATGGTTATTAATCCACACACATGGTGATGACGGATCTCTAATGGAGACTAAGTTCATTTACTTTCAGCCATTTTCATTTCCATAGTGTCGTTGGTTTTCAGTTTTCTTTGTGTAATTGGTGCCATTTTTTTTCTTCAAAGATGTTGGTTTAATACACTGGTTAGTGTGTTGTTACATTGTCATATTAACTACAGAGACATATTATGCTGTGGGTTTTCAGGCACACACATTAGATATTTCTGATTGAGGAAAAGCATACTAAGAAGCTCAACTATCAAATGGCTTTCTAAAGTCTAATAACACCTGTCTTCCCTCTGAATGTTCTACATTTCTTCCCCCTTGTTCTTTTCTTTCCTCGCTCCTGCACGTTTTTTTCTTCACTCTATCTCTATCCTTTATGGTAGTGGGACTTTACGTCTAACCTGTCTTCTATTTCTCACTCTTCTAGCTTCTAGCTCAAAAGTCTGTCTCTCATCTCTCCTCTCTTCAGCCAGACCCATAACCAGGTGTGTAGATGTGTTTAGCTCAGTGTCCTATTGGCTGCTGTGAAGGGATGCACAGATTCAGAAACTCTTGACACATGCTGGCATCCTTTACTATTTCAAGTCATGCCAGAGTAACCAAAACCAAGTCTGGCTGCTACTAACTAAATATCATCGGAGGCACTAACCTGAAGTGACACGACATATCATCAGCGGCCAATCAGCACATTTTTCAATCGGGCCGATAGCAGTCAAAATGGTGGGCACTAATGTTCGGCCAATAAATCAGTGCATCCCTACGGGTGTTCCCTCTAACCTGCTGTGGGCCTACATTTCTGTTCCCATGCTTCCCATCATGTTCAAGTTTTACATAGCATACAAATATTGTTAGGGTTAGGGTTAGAATATAAAAGTATATTGAGTGGATGGAACCAGTTAAGTTACAGAACATGTTCATATTTACGAGCTTTCCCCATAAATGTGACCCGCTCTATCGAAATCAGTCGGAAGTCGCAACGGCTCATTTCAAAATAAACGTGGATTTGCGTAAAAAAATAGTTTTTTAGGGTTCGGGTGTTTTGTTTGATTTTAAACAAACAAAGTCTTGGCTTTCAGAATATGAAACTTTCATTGCCAAAATCTCCCGATAAATACATGTTTGAAGCTTGTAAAGGGAAGATGACAGCTCTCACTCGCCTCTCTGCTGTTCCGCAGCGCAGCCCCCCCTCCCTCCGGCTGAAATTATGAAGTAAAGGCGTATAGTAATCATAGATAACACGGCAGGGTCCGTTACAGTTTGTTTTCATCTGATTTCAAATAAACAAAGTCTTGGCTTTCAGAATATTAAACTTGTTTCGGCAAATTCAGATGATAAATACAACTTTGAAGCTTGCGACGGCATAATTACAAGCGGAGAACGGAGTAACTTAACGTCACAGCAGGCATAACAACAGCCGGTGTTTCTCGGTGTCGCTCCGACGGCGCGCATGAAGCGGTGGGCGCGAATCACGCGATTGAGGCGATTGAACGGTGCCATGTTACACGCGAGAGTTCCATTTTTTCAACTCGAGCGTCAAATTCACGTGACGCGTTCTCGCGGAAGCCAATCAGCGGTGAGGATCTCAGCCTGCCGTCACTGACGTTCAACCACACAACATCAGCCGTTAGCTGTTAGCAGTTAGCACACAGAGCTCACAGCTCCTCATATCCGTTCAGAAACTGGACAAAAGTTAAACAAGTACAAACCACAGACTGTCTGTGTCATGGCGAATACAGTCGCTGCTTATTTATGTCTGTAGGCCGTTGATATGAGTGTGGAATGAGCATATACAACGTTAGCTTAGCCTGGTCGACCCGATCTTCATTCAGAAAACAAGCATTTTAAAAGGTTTTTCGCCTGCCGTCTTGTCTGCAGACTTGTCAAGCATTAATTCATGGTTTTTACTAACCGGTATCAGTATGTTGTTACTTCGGCATCACTTTGAAATGTGTATTACAATTAAATCACGGTCAAATATGTTCATTTTGTTGTAGTTGTAGCTCCCGAGCCAGCGCGTCTTGTTTGAATGATGCGAGTAAACACAGCTGGCAGCCGCGGTGAAACTCCAGCGTTTAGAGCGATGCGATAGGAGCGATTAGAGCGAAGCGAATATTCGCATCGCGTCCGGTGTGAACGCAGCATTACACTAATGCAGAGCGTGCATGCTTGGCATTTCCTGCTGTGTTTTACAAACTAGTCATGATATGTTTTTGCTGTGTTTTTTCTTCACCATCCAATAGGGCTGGGTAATATGGAGAAGATACAGATATC